ACTCTGCAGGCAGAATGGAGGGACGCGTGGATGAACGACATTTGCCTTCAAGGAAAGTCTCCCACAAATATGCTCACAAATACTTGCTCCCAGGAGAGAGTGAACACTGATACTCAGAGAAATCGAGGGAATAGCCTGGATCATTAGTAAATGGTGATATGCATTACAGCCAGCCTGGCCATAGCTCGATGTTACCTTAGGTACAAGTTTTCTTCCTTTAGGGGGAAATGTGGAAATCAGACCTCTGGTCCCAGACCCAATCTAAGGTAGGTGTCAGACAAAGGGGCGAGGTTTGAAAAAGAACATTCCCAGTCCATGCATGAGAGGAGGACTGCGTCTTTACTTATCCAGGAATTTTTAAATTTTTCTGCTGATAATTTCATGTTGGATGGCTTTTTATCTCCATTATTTAGAAAAACGTTACATGCTAGTGTAGTTAGTATTAGTTGCTGTAGTTATTACGCGCGGGTTTTAATGTATGTTGTAGTGTAATTGACAGGAACATAAAGCTACTGGCTTGTTTACAGCTTTTCTATTGCACTATTGAAATATTCTCACAGTATTTATGTCAATGTTAATTTTGAATGTCATCAAGATTTGGAATCTCGCTCACATTGTACATGGTACCACGATAAGGCGTAAAACTCAGAAATCATTTTTTTATGCTCGTTTAGCATATGGATTTCCACCACATTTTAAAAACTTGATCATCTGATATTTTATACCACACACACACACACACACACACACATACACAGAGCATCTTACAAACCAGTACATGCACACATCATTAAACCATATTGTAGGGGCCGGCGCTGTGGCATAGCAGGTAAACCCACTGCCTGCAGTGCCATCATCCTATATGGGCACCAGTTTAAGTCCTAGCTGTTCCACTTCTGATCCAGCTCTCTGCTGTGGCCTAGGAAAGCAACGGAAGATGGCCCAAACCCTTGGGCCCCTGCACCTGAGTGGGAGACCGGAAGAAGCTCCTGGCTCTTGGCTTTGGATCAGCTCAGACCTAGCTTTTGTGGCCATTAGGGGGGTGAACCAGCGAATGGATGACCTCTCTCTGTGCCTCTGCCTCTCTGTGACTCTCCTTTCAAATAAATAAATCTTTTTTAAAAATCATATTGTAGCATAATATTCAGTAAGATTGTGTCTGGTTTGAAAATTACTATTTTTCCAGGCACACTTAACTTTTGTAACTTTGGACAAAATATTCTCGTGTTAATACATTAGCAAAAGATTTAGGTAGCAATCTCATTTGATTATATCTGGGCTGACTTCTGATCGAAACGGGTTTATACCCAGCATTCAAGTAAGGTATAGCCAAATGAATGGAATATTTTTGACCCCAAATGTCTTGTGTATTTTGAAATATTCCCAGTGCATTGGGCCTTCTAAGTAGAACCATTTGAAAATGCTGTTCCATTTGAGAAACCATGAAGTCAAAACCAGTAAATGGTGTCATCCACAAGCCATGTCTCACTTTGGTAGTAAAGCAGATGGTGTTGGCACGGCTCCTGGTAGCCAGTGGCCCTAGGGAGTGAAGCAGTCTTCACCGTGAGCCACTTTGACTTGGGGCGAGGGGAGCCCCCTTTCTCACTCACGGAGCAATGACAACACACAGTAGAACCTCCAGAGACTCAAGTAACTGCATATATATGAAAAAAGAATTAGGGTGCCAAACATTTAGGCGAATTTTGTTTCATTTTTATTTTAATGAACTTCCAATTCTAATCAACTATGATTTCAATATTACCAAAATGTTCATTAATGTATAGATCGAAAGTAGTGTTTCTAGTCCGGTATAAAAAATGTGGCACTTCCACTCTTTGCTAGGATCTTCAGCTGAAGGGAGAAGGAAGGGAAGGTGAGGGGGAGGGAGGGGAAGGGAGGGAAGGGGAGGGGAGAGAGGGGGAGGGAGGGGGAGGAAGGGAAGGGGAGGGGAGAGAGGGAGAGGGAGGGGGAGGGAGGGGAGGGGAGGGGAGAGAGGAGGAGGGAAGGGAAGGGAGGGAAGGGGAAGGAAGGAAGGGAAGAAGAGGGGAAGGAAACGCTTTGGGAAGCACCAGGCCTCGGCATCGGTAACTCAAGGAATCACCCTGGGGTTAGGTCACCACGTGGGCACTGCCATGGTCACTGGGACATTTGACCCCATGGCATCATGAAGACGCTCAGTCCCTCCCTCAACCCTAGCTCTCATTCCTGGCTGGTTCTCCCTCACCTGTTCAACCTGTGAAATTACTGGCTTTGCATGACCGTTCCCATGATGTGAGTTTTTTTGATGAAAGGTATTAGCAAGCCAAGTCTTGACTTCTGAGGGCTGTGTGTGCAGCCGAAGTCCAGCGTGTGGCGGGGCACCCGTACTTAGGTCCAAGGTGCGCTCCCTCCCCTCCTCCTGGGAAGACTTGACTCGCGTGTCTGAGGCATCACATTCCACCTCGCCGAGATGCACACCCCAGCTGTTCACCTCCGGAGCTACAGCTCATCTCTCCCCAGAGTGAGCCGCCTACCCACCTGTGGGCTGTGGACAGCCGTTGCGTGGCTTTCCTCTCTCAGCGTGCCCGTGACTCCTGAGCAGAGTTAGTGCCTCCAGCGTTAGAATATGCAAGGAGGTGCTAGGCTTCAGGCCTGATTGGATCTTAAAGAATAAAGGGGCTACCTCACCTGAGGCACTAACACGCATCAGTAACTCTGCCCTTACTGCACTTGCGCCTGGACTTTTCAAGGGAATCTGAGGCTAAGTCTTTGTCTTCGGAGTAAGAAGGGCAGTGGGAAAAGCACAGGAAATGCAGGATAATAGTAGATCAAGTCGGGTTTCTTTCACGCTGAAAAGTCTTTCTTTCTGTAGGGCGAAAATAGCCGCGTGGGCTTACTGCATAGCAAGCCAACGTCGCGCTCTCCGCCTTCTAGGAAAAGCAACTTGCCCAGACGTTTAAGAGATACCAACAGATTAAGCCCAACTTTTTCCCAAAGTTTTCCCACCGAGTTCTTTGAGAGGCGGGGTGAAAATACAGCTGCAGCCATTTCACTCCGTCTGCATTTCCGGTCCTTTGTCCTGTTGACGCCAATTTCCTTTCTACTTGACACGTGCGTGGTTGACTGCTCAATCCTACTGCTGATCCATCCCACCATGGCAGAGAATTTGGGCTTTAGGAAACAGTCAATCCATATTAAGATTTGTGGACATTTGGGTATCCAAAAATCAGGAACTGTACTCTGCAGTTGGTATGTTGGCATTTATAAAGAGAAGAGGAAGAGGAGGCTGCCGATTGAAGTTGATACCAATAGGACTATAAGAGTGGACTACAGACGTCAAAGAACATAACTGATACACGAGTGTACAAGCCAAGGTGTCAAAAGTGTGGGTCAAGGCCACACTTGTTGTTCCAGAGAGTGGGCCCACGATGTCCTGTATCCAACGACTTTCGTTCTATGTAGACTTTGTTAGACTATTCTGTGTTCAACTTCTTTCAATCAATTACAGAATTGCGTAAGCAGCTGGAATGATCCTCAGCTGCCAGCCTGGTGCCGTGGTGCAGCAGGTTAAGCCACTGCCTGCACTGAGTGCCGGTTCAAGTCCCAGCTGCTCCACTTCCAGTCCTGCTCCCTGCTAATGCACCTTGGAAGGCAGCAGAAGACGGCCCAAGTGCTTTGACCCCTGCCATACACATGGGAGACCCGGATGGAATTCTGGGCTCCTGGCTTCAGCTTGGCTCAGCCCTGGCCATTGTGGTCACTTGGGGAATGAATCAACAGATAGAAGTTCTCTCTCTCTCTCTGCCACTCACCTTTCAAATAAATGTTAAAAAAAATCCTCAAATGTACTGGAAACACTGTTAATTTATTTGTTAAATCTGGCAAACCTATAGAATGTATTCACATCGTCCCAAACTCTGTTCTTCTCTAGAGGA